GGAGATGGGGTCCCCACTCGGGGCTGGTCCCTTTGGGCTCACCCGGGGGTTCCTGTCCTGCCCTGTGTGGCCCTCCTCATAAAGAGTCATGCCGATGGTTACCCCTCCAGTAACTCTGCCCTGAGTGCAAAGCTTAGCCTGGCATCTCTGTCATATCAGAGTGCTGGAATTAGAGCCTGTGAGCCGCAGCAGTGCACGGATGAAAGAGCCTCCGCTTCCTTTCAAGGTTGGGAGTGGGTTCCCCAGTGCCCGCAGGGGTCTGCCAGCCTCGTCTCCTGCTCGGAAGCAGATAAGCTAATGGGAAGGATGCTGTCTCTTACTATGTTGGGGAGGCGAAGCAGAAAGATCTGCTGTGTCCATGAAGTGCGTGTTAAATCAGGCGCAGAAGGGGCTGCTTTCCCTGTAGACTATCAGGTTCTAACTGGGTGGATTGTAGTTATTCATGTGACAAGAAAATGCATCTTCGTCAGTGTCTTCCCGCTGCTGTCACCCCTGAAATCATTTCTCTGAGTAAAGCCCATTTGCATAGTGATTACCAGGCTCCTTCCCTGCTGCAGAGGGCCATGCTCATGGCCTCTGGGATAAAGGACAAGGTTTAGTGAACCAGAGCCAGGCTAGGAGTAAAAAGCACCTGCATTTCAGTGCTTATGTTGCCTGACTTGCTGCAGGCGAAGACTGTGTGCCTGTCTCTACAGCAGAAATAATGATGATACTTCCTCATTTGATGGATGAATGTACAGGGGGTGTATATCACCTGTATAAGAGCACACAGATGAAGCCTCCTCCCTTCCTATTACTCTTTCGGTTCTCTTATTACTTTCCCCATGCTTTTCTTCATCAATTCTGTGCCTGTCATATGCCCTTGCTTGGTGGTAATCCCAGGCTGCCTGCTGCACCCAAGTCCTTCTCTAGAGTTTATGTTTAGAGTCAACCATTTGTCCTTTCTCCCTCATCTCTGCTATTCTTGCCACAAGACGCATGGCTTTGGCCCAGCAAGAAGCTTTGGGCCACATTTAGAATTGGCCTCAGACAGTTAAGTTCCTGCCTGGGATCAAGAACCCTGTTATTAGCAGCCTAATTTAGCAAGAGAGCCAAACAGTTCTGCTCCAAGAGAGGCAGTGATATTACTAGGGTGTCCGTGGAGTGCTTTGCCCCTAAGCAGTGGGACTCATTGAACTCTGGTACCTAGCAGACTGCCAGGTCATAATAATGTGTCATGGTTAAGAATGACGTGAGAGGATGCTCTCCCCGTTTCACGGGTAGGGAACAAAAGCCAGAGAAAGGGAGGAGAGGTGTAATACTGGTGTAAGTTGAGATTATAGTGAAAGTAGCTGTTACTTTCTGAGGCAGGCCAGGTATGAGGCATTTTTAAATGGCTATTGCTACCCATCTGTAGCAAAGGCTTTCTTGGTTTGATGATTTCACTGAAAAAGTCACACCTGACTGAAATAGAGAAACCTGAACAGGACGTGTGTGTGGGACAGATCTCCCAAACCGCTCTCTGACGACTCAGCCCTGCGTCCTTTGCAGTACAAGAGCACAGACTGTAACTAATTGTGGGAAGGTTTCATCTCAAAAGCTAATGCGAGACAGGCCTGAATTACCAGTAGTGCAGACATAAACAGAGAGACAGAGAGCAAAACCATCTGGAGTCCCTGGGAAATGCATCAGCTCGTAACGTGCTGATGGGGCAGAAATGACTCTTCATTCCCTTATATGAGGAATCAGGGTACAAGCAGGGCTGAGAGAGGCCCGGATAAATCTGAGGGGCTCACACAGACTTCAGAACCATCTTTTGCCTTCCCAGCTCCCAAGCTGTTAGACCTTTTGGCAGTCTTTGCACAGCTGAGGGGATTTAGCACTTTTCTGGTTCTGGTGGATACAGGTTTCTTCTAACTGTTGTGACCCTGCAGTGGTCCAGACATACCATCTACTCAAAAACAGCTTCTCTGCAGCTGAGGTGTTCCTCTATGGAGAGTTTCCATACCTCTTGCCAAGAGCAGAGGCTCCTGCTCAGCACGTTTCTGACCAGGGAGCAGTTTGAATCTGGTAGTTTGTTTTGATTCAAACTGGGAAAAAAAAAAAAAACCCAAAACCTGGGGCTGGGAAGAGAACACACAACGGAAGTGTGCTGCCAGGAAGGAGGGGGAAGTGGCTGATTGGAAAGTCACCGGATTGGGAGTGAAATCAGATTAGCTGCTCCCTGGGGCTGTAGAGAAACTGTCACCAGTGTGACCGTTTACTGAGGAACATTTGAAAAGATTAAAAAAAAAGGTTTCAAACGCTTCACTGAACCACTCAGCAAATCCCAACTCCGATAGGCAAATTTGCTCTTGCTTACGCTGGCAGAAAGCTGGAACGCTGCTGACTTCTGACCCCATTGCTTAAATCAGAGCAGGATTTGGCACAGGCGACTTTTAAAGCTGCCTGAAAATGCTATATCTCCTAGGAAAGCTTCCAGCAGCAATGCAGGGAATGCTTTGTCCAGGCACCACTTGCAGCCAACCCACAGTGCCTGGTGCCTGCCTTTGTTTGGATGAGAGAAGCCAGGGAGGTTGGGCTGGGTTGAGCTTGCCTTTGGGAAGCACAGTGCCACTTTCCAGGGAACTGCCCCAGCCACCCACGCCCCAAAAGCCCCTGCGAAGCAGAGTGACAGATGTGTCTCCGGCTTCAAGGAGGAAGAGC